TGAATTTAGGATGTCAGTTATATTGCTTAATTTGCTAATTTTATGCAGTGATTATTATTGCTCAGCTGCACCAAGAGTTAGCTTTTTTACATTATATACAGCAATGTTTAGAGCTAAATGTAGGATTTTATAATTTTTTTGCTTTAGCTGTTTTATGTTGAACTACAGGCTTGCTATAACAGTACCTTATTAAATACAGACATTTTAATCCTGAATATGCCTTGGTGAAATGGGAGTGCACCTAATATGCCTATGTGTCATATATGCCATCAAATATGGTATTTTAGTTTGTCACATTAAGCTTGTAGACTGGAGAGACAAATAAATATTGTGATGACTTTCAATATCCTTCTTAATACATTTCACAAAAATTCAAAATTTATTTCATGAGGAGCTAACATAATTAATTTCAAGTAAAACTATACTCAATAACGTCTATTAAATAAGTTTATTGCCATTGAAAAAATGACATAAATATGCACATAAATACACATAAAGCTCTAATTCATATGTATATGAATAAATATGCAAAAGTAGTCCTGCATTCATAAATCCATCTTACATGCACACAAACACTGAGTTAAAGTTTATCCAAAAACAAGCCTAAAATTAATTTACAATGTAAAGAAAGCTATTTTTCATGAAAATATTATCTCTCCATTTAATCATGAAATAAATAAAACAAAGAGAAGATGTGATAAAAGTTACTGATGAATGCACTGTATTATAACAGCATAATTCTAATGTTCTTTACTATTAATTTATATGACAAGACCTTTTAATCATAATTCTGATGGTCCCAATAATTTATTTTCCGATAATTTTGGACCACAAAGCCTCTTCTTCACTGTCTTCACCCTCATCATCAGATCCAAATGCAGGTACCTTTTTGGAGGTCGTGGGGATTTCCTCCACATATTCACTTATCTGCTCTGTACCCTCAGCAGATTCATTCTCTGGGGCACTCTTGCTCTCCTCTGAAGATCTTGTGACCTTCATACCAAACAAACGTTCGTACTCTTCAATGCTTCCTATCACTGAAACTTGAGGCTCTGGAAGCTTCTTTTGAGAATCTTCAGCCTTTTCCGGGGCACTTGCCTTAGTAGCCTTGTCCTTTTTTTGGATCTTCTTTCTGACTCGACTCAACATCTTGCTGCTTGTCACCACCTTTTGAACTTTCTCACTCTGTAGCCATCTCATACTCCAGCTGGATCCTCCAAGGTCTAAGTCAAATTGATCATTACTAGGGTCATTGCTTGCTTCTATAACACCTATGATCTCTGTATCACTTCCTCCTTTCTTCCTGCCTTCGGAATCATTATTTGGTTCATACTCTTCATAGCTTATGACATCATCCTGGGAAGACAGAGATGTCTCTTGAGAGTCTTGTGAATTTGGTTCAGTGTGTGTTCCACAAGCTGATGATTTACTTATTGAGGCTGCAGATTCAGCCTGTGCTTCTTCAATTTTGCTTGTACTCTCAGCCTCACAGACATTCACTGTTCCTTCAGAATTTACTTGTGATGAGCAACTTGCTGAATTTTCAGATAATGTAGTTTTCAAGTAACCTATACCCTCCATAACTAACACATCCTTTGACTTTTCCTTTTTCTTCTTCTCTTTCTTACCCCATGATTTCTCAGGTACTTTCATTTCTATCTTTGGGTGCCGAAGCACTGGCTTACGAATCAGGCCTGTTTCAATCCTTATGGGCTGAACTGCATGGTCGTCTCCCTTCAATTCCTCAACATCAAGGTCTTGATCCTTGCTATCATCAGTAAATGTTAAATGTTCTACTCCTTTATAGAAGTTCTCAGTTCTATCTTCTACAGGTTCCTTTGGTCTTTCTTGAGCTTCATCATCATTCATAGTTGCCTTGACTTGATTCTGTTTGCGGTTTTCTGTACCTGTTGTCATATTTTCAGATATTTTTAGACTGGAATCATCATTTACACTTACATTAGATGCCTTTTCTCCTAATGCATCTAAACTTTCATTTTCCTTACCACCAATGCCCTTGCTATTTTCTGTGTTCTCATCATTTTGGACAAACTCATTTGGTTCATTTTGGGAATCTGAGTTACTGTTCCTTTCTTGTTCTTTGAAATTATCTGGCAATGGTTCAACTAAATCACCCTGATCCTGTACATTCCCTAATTTCTCTTTCTCAGCAATATCAGCTTGATGCTCATCTGTTAATTCCTTTTTCTGGTCATCATTTGTACTGCTGCTTTCACTGTTATCATTTTTAGACTTAGAAATTGGTTCTGCTGTTTTCTCTTCATGGATCATCTCATCTGCCTGCTGCTCTTGGTCATCTTGATCTGCAGATTTTCCTTTCACATCTTCCATCAAGTTATCTTGATTATTATCTTTATCAGTTTCATGATCATTCTGAGAGAAAACTCTCATTTTGGTTTTGAATGCTTTGCCTTTATTTGACTCTGGTGTGATTTGAACATTTTGCTTCTGATATTCACTTTCCAAATTCTGAGATCTTTCTGCAACCTCACGTGAATTTACTTTGTCAGATTTATTTTCTTCTATTTTTGATATATCTGGTTTGGATCCTTTTTTTGTCAATAAATTTGTATAGTCATACTTATTAGGTAAAGCAACTGATGCTTTGTCTTTGGGTGATGAGGTTGATTCTCCTCCTCTTGCAGCAGCTGACTGTGTCTTTTCTTCACCTTCACTGTCTGAACTTATTACAATCTCCTCTGTCTTCCTTTCCTGAGGCAACATCACATCCTCAATAACAGGCTCTGCATTTGATTGGTTAGAACCATTATTACCACTAGTCTTTGCATTTTTCAATGGCAGATCATCAAGGTCAACATTCGGTTTTATGCTTGGTCCAGGTTTCTTTTGCAAAGAAAAGCTGATGCTTGCTCTTTCAATAATATTACTTTTTTGAGTTGAAGGCAATTGCTTTAATAGTGTTGAGCCCTTTTTGTTTGTCTCAATCTCATCAAAATCTTCCTCAGAATCAACAAATTCAATATCACACTTCTGGCCCCAGTTTTCTTCTTCATCTTTGACAGGTTTTTGAATTAATGAAGGTTTAACTTCATTAACTGTTTTCCCAGGTTCCCGATTTCTCCCTTCATTCAATCTCTTACTACTTACTCCATCTCTCTTCTTATCAATGCTTCTAGATCTACTCCTACTCCTGGTGTAACTTCTACTACTTCTGCTTCTACTTCTACTGTAGCTTCTACTATAACTTCTGCTATAACTCCTACTCCTCCTCCTCCTCCTCCTCTTCCTTCTGCCTCGGGTTCTTGATGGACTTCTGCTGTAGCTTCTGGTCCAGCTCCTGCTGTAACTCCTCCTCCTGACACCTGGAGATGAATCATAATCACTTGCACCTGAAGCATCACTAGGTGTACATGCTCCCTCTTCTTCTTCATTACTGTCCCATTCACCTTCTTCTTTTTCTGAAACTTCAGTAGGTGCTTCTGTTTCTCTTTTTGTTATAGCTTCATTGGAATCAGCCACATCCTTTGAAACAGCTGGTTTATTTCCCTCCTTGGATACCCCATTTTGGTCTGTAACCACACTCCCTTTCTTTTTAGGTTTTGGTTCTTCTGCAGGTTTATCTTGCTCAACATCTTTTAATTTGTCTTCATCCTCAGAAACTTTCCGCTGTCTGTATGTCCTGTTCTTCTTGGCTCGCTTCATGCGCTCCTCAAATTCCTTACGAGAAATCTTTTTCTTTTTCCTCACTTGTCCATCTGATTCCTGAGATTGTTTGGCAATCCTTTTGTCCTCTTCATAATTACGACTTCCACTTCGGTCTCTCTTTCTCTTATCCGGGTTACTTCTACCTCTGCTCCTTTTGCCATCAGGCCTGTGTTCTCTTCTACGACTACTGCTTCTGCTCCTTCTCTCTGGCTGGGTCTCTGATTCTTTCCTCTCTTTAGACACAGTATTCTTTTCACTGTCTTTTATAACTTTCTCTTCACCGACTTTCCTCAGGTCGTCTGTCAATTTAGTGTTTCCTATAACTGCTGCAATGGCATCCTCAGTGAGCTTCTTACCATCATCTTTTTCCAGCATTGTCTTGATAATCCGGGCTCGCATTTGTAATTCCAAAAGTTCCATAACACTTTTGGGTTCTTGAGCTCCTTCTTTCGCTGACTCTGTACCTGGTTCAACTTTAATCTTCTTTAAAAGGTAGTCTGGAACCACAGAGTCTGTGCCTGTTTGTCTTTTCTCTTGCCTGAAATAACAGATTTTGACTAAATTCAAAAACCTTAACCAATAATAACCCTATCTTTGCATTCATAAAAATAATAAATAATTAGTTTGGAAGAATTCATATATCAGCCAAGACTGTATTAATATATATTGACCTAACAAGTAATTAATGAGAAGGATTCATGTTAAACAAACTGAAATTTCAAAAAGAAAGAAAAGAGAAAACACTTGAATAAGCAGAACTTTTGGCTTTATTTATGCCCTAAAAAGTTCTAGAACTCACATGGAACAGATATATACATGAAAATCTAAGAATGAATGACTGAAAAAAGAAAAAAGAAGAAAAAAATCTAATTCATATGAATACAAATGTAACTTCTGAGTTACAGGATGTCATTCATTTTTTCTCACCGATTGCTAGCTTCATCCTTTTCTGTGCTGTTTGTCTCCTGAATGTTATCTTCCTCTTCCTCCTCTTCACTTCCTGATGAGCCTTCCATCTCTTGGGCTAAAGAGGAAAATGTATATGTAAACAGAATACTTAGCTTATGAGAGGTATGAACTAGTTTCTCTTGAGAGGCATGTACTAGTTTCTCTTGGGTATATTATCTACTTGAACTTACTTTTTAAAAGAAAAATACAAAGGAGGGAGGAAGAGAGTGGGAGATGGAAAGGAAGAAAGCAAAATAAAACAAAAAGAAATATCATTAAATAAGAAACTTTCTCTCTTTCTCACTCTCACTCACTCACAAACATCCTACTCTCTTTCTCTCCCTCCCTCTCTCTCTTTCTCTTCC